CCCCAAAACCCCAAAACCCCAAAACCCCAAAACCCCAAAACCCCAAAACCCCAAACTTATACAAATTATTGATTAGTGCAGTATATATAATTACTGAATATCCAGTATGATAGGAACATCAAATGCCAATTTGAATAATAACACTGAAGGTCAGAGACAAGAGGAAGAGAAGCAGTCCACAAATCCTTTTAATAGAACACAGTCTCTCATGGACTCCTCCTCTCAGAATCAAGTTATGGGAAATGGCCAAATGATGGGCCAACAGGATTCAAATAAACCTCAAAATTTTGATAAAGAAATGGGGGAACAATATAATTACTCCAACTTATACTCCCAGATGGCCTACCAGGACCCAATGAATGTTGGCTGTGCCATGAATCAGATGCCAAATACTTCAGGGCTAAACCCTGAAGGAGAGGCTCAAGCTTTACATCAGAATTTCAATAATTTCAATGATGGAGGAAATGATTTCAGAATGGGAAGTAAGTAGCACTCTATCTAGCTTTATTTCATGTTTTTACAATTCTATTTATATTTTAGTGATGCAGTCCAGTATGAACCAAGCCTCTTCAGAAGAATATGGATCTAGATCAAGGATGAGTCGCAAAGGGCACCGGTATCCTAAATCATCTCAATGGAGCACTGAGGAGGACACTCTTCTGGGAAAATTATACCAGGAATTTGGCTCCCGCAAGTGGAAAAGAATCGCTACTGAGATCAATAAGCATTTCTGGGGCTCTAATGAAGTTAGAAAAGGCAAACAGTGCCGTGAAAGGTGGATAAACCACCTTGATCCCGAGGTTAACAAAGGTCCATTCACTGTAGAGGAAGATATTCTTATGATTGAGATTCAGCTTGAAACAGGCAACAGATGGGCATATATTTCAACTTTTCTGAAAGGAAGGACAGAGAATCAGGTGAAAAATCGGTTCAAAACTCTCATAAAGAAATATGTGTTAAGCACATACGGCAAGAGCTACTATGAAAATTACTTGAAAGAAATTGCTAACAGAGACGAGCATGAATATCAATGGAAGAATGACCCTATTGTCAACTCTCTGTTAGAGGCGAAGAGACAAGAGAGAGACAATTCTGCTGGACAATCATCCGCCTCTAAAAATGTTCAAATGAATGAGGAAACAAAAGCACCTCCTACTATAAATATTAATGACCTTAATGCTGCTGGAGCTCTTAGCGCTTTCCAAAAAGTGGGTTCTAATTTTCTCAACTATTCCAGAAATGCAAGTTCGATGAATGCTATGAATTCTCAACCTGTGTTCAACAACAACAGTTTGGATTACCTCCAAGAAGGGAAGAATCTCATAAATGAGTCTATATATCTTAATAACAGTTTGAGAAGCATGAACAGCGTGAATTCAGGAATGGACCAGCAAAATAATTCAATGGGGAATATGTCCTTCAACAACGGACAAAGTTTTGGCAGACAAAATCTGACAAAGAGTAATGAAGGAAGCAAAGAGAAGACTAAAGGGATTAATAGAACCCCAGATGTAGTAAAAAGTACTATTCCTAGGGCCTCAATTGATCTTATGGGTGATAACTCTAATGAAAAGAAAATGAGGCAGGATACTAGTAATATCCAAAATACTGAAAATGCGCAGATGGAGGTTTCTCCACTTGGTGGTAATAACACTAACACTAAGAATCAGGCGAATGAAAATGCTAAAATGGACTCTGTCTCTAATTCTAGTAACATGAATCTCAATATGACTGGCTTTAACTCACAGAATGTTCAAATGAATCCAGAAATGATGACCATATACCAAGTCAAGCAAATGGCCGTGAGAAAATTCATTGATAGTGAGAACGAAGAGAATATGTACATTCTACATGATGGAACCATCTTTATCGAGTGCATTAAGACAGGATGAACAAAGATAGTGTCACATTCAAGTGAACTTACTATGCCATTGAAATATTCAATGCAGTGATCTGAACCTCACCAAGGACGGGTTGATTACCAGAATATGCAAAGCCAACCAAATAACAACCTCGGCGTGAACTTTGACGACTTAAAAAATTGACTGAACATGATGGGGTATCAGAACCCAAGTTATACAGGAATGAATTCACAACAGATGGACTTCATGGAAAAGAAATAATCGTAAATAATTTTATTCACTCTTAAAATAGCATTACGGGGTTTTGGGGTTTTGGGGTTTTGGGGTTTTGGGGTTTTGGGGTTTTGGGGTTTTGGGG